CCAAAGTCACTTCATGAATGGCCATGGTTCCACCTACACACATCTTCAAATCCTCACTTACACGCAACTATTCATCAGCAAGATCTCAACTATAAAGTCTTCTGAATTGCTCCTACATTGGCTTCTATGTATTCCATAAACAAGTATATTCAAGTCTCAAATGTAGATCAACATGTAGAAATTACATGGCTCTTACAAAACAATTTGCTTTTCTACTCATAAGAGTAGAAAGAATAACCTCACTGCTTTGATCCCAGATGATAGTAACACTGGGAGTCATATCCAGAACGAGACCTGGCTTCATAAATCACAAGTTATATTTCACTTTTTGTTCACTATGGAGGTCGGTTACTGAACATATTCACAAGATATGGCCAAAGTACTTTTAACAAAATATAAAAGCTTGAACACACAAAGAAGGAAACAAATGTTACATCACACGAGAAATATTTCAGTTTTATTGCAAATATCAGAAAGACAAATTCAACCTTTTTACCCCAACAACAAACCTACAGACACTGAAACCTCAGCAAAGGGCTCTTGTTCAACTATCACAGTTTTAGTGCCATCTTGTCAGCAAATTTATGCACATACCTGACGCTATTTTCTTTAGTTAATGTCTCCTCCCAAGACCCTTTGTCAGGCTGCTAACTCCGCTCACTTCCTACCAGAGATGGTTGTTTAAACCCATGTGTCAACAAACCTTGCAAGATGTCTTTGTTCTCCGATAGCTCCACACCTGTAACTGGCATTTTCTTCTATGCAACTCAGGAATTATTTTCCCAGCCCTGACTGCTTAGGCTGCTCATAACAGCATCCCTGTTGTTAAACCTCCTCCCTTGGAGTGAACCAGTTTCTGTCTAAATGAACCACCTTCTGGGCACATATCCCTCCACATCGCAAAAATCAAGTCAACGAACACATTAGCAAGTAAATCTCGGAAGGTTGGTGGCACTGGTGGTAGGTAATTTATCATATGTAGCCAAACAAGTTCCTGCTGCTTTGGAAAATTCATTTCTTGCAAAGTTCATGACCAAATTAGCTTATCCACCTGACCAAACCAATTGTTGTAAATAGTCCTCCCAGGATTGACTGAATGCAACAAAACTGCCAATATTTCCAGTGGCATAATCTTTTGATGGCCTGTTGGCTAATCATTCTCAAGTTGCTGATTCATTTTCATTCCAAGCAGTATAAACTTGCATTGATAATGTACATTTGGGGGTTATAAATGTTGGTATTCCTTGGCTGTGTCAGTCAATGAGACTTGCCAATATCCCTTTGTTGAATCAAATTTTGTGACGAACCATGCTTGCCCAATCCTCTGAACCAGTCCTCCAACCATGGTCTTGAATTGCTAGGGTAATATGCCACTAGAATTTTGTGAGCCACTCGTAAAATCTTGTTACGATTTTCAGATAGAACTATCATTAGCTTGTCTATTGCCGATGTCTGGCTGCTTGAGGCAGCCTCCAGTTGCTCTTAAGCACTTTGACATTTAAATAACAGTACTGAGTTTTTTTTTTAAGTGATTTGATTTCTGAGTAGATAGTTTGATACAGTTCTTAGGATTTACCTGTTGCATTTCCGTTAAAGATGGTGGGTCAAACAGGTCAGCCTCATTCTCTTTTATTTATATGTTCAAAGATGGTGTCAGATAACTGAATTTACATGTCAACCATTTTTGTATACACTCTTCCTTATTTTGTTCTATGGCCCTTAGATCAAGTCATAGCACATTCCAATACACTGCTTCTATTGTATCTCAGTTTCTTATACTTTCATTGAATATTCAAATGCCCTCAGAGAGGCTAAAATGTTTGAACCAGGCAGGTCATAACCCAACATAAAATTAATTCCTTCTATAGGGGTTTGCAGTATTACTCCAAATACAACTCTCCACTTACAAAGTCACTCTTCAATTTTATACAACGGTACCGATTTGTAACATCCACATTTGACTCCAATTCATATATTTTCATTAGACCTCTGGAAGACAGACTGTATCATCAGCCCAGATCAGTGACTAGCTCGAGCCCATGTCTCTTAATACACTTATTGGTTTGCCTACTTGATTAGAAGCATACGGAAATACATCCCTAAACTGAAATAAGATATTCAGAACCTCCAGTGATCCAATTCTCTTCAGCAATTATCAAATAATAAGTTCCTCAATTCTTCTGAGCCATTTACCTTTACTCAGTCTCGAAAAGCTGTACATTAAAGATTCCATGACAGTAGTTCAGAGTAAAAGGGGAGTTCTCCTGGACAATGTTAATTCCTCAACTACAAACAAATGTTCTGGTTATAACTGCATTGTCATTTTGAGGAACATTGCTGTACATTAAGCAACTGCTTATTTCTTACATATCAAAATAATTACACTTCCAAAGTATTTCATTGATTGCAAAACACATCAGAACTTCCTAAGGTCATGGAAGATATGATCTAAACGCATGTCTTTCAATAATCTCCTTCATCATGACGTGTTTTGCATTACCACATTTTCAGACTTCACCAGAAGTCCCCAGCATCACAGGTGCTAGTCTTCAGCCAATTTGATTCACTCCACCTGATATCAAGAAACAGTTGGAGACTGCAAAGGCTACGGGCCTCAATAACATTCCTGCAACAGTGCTGAAGACTTGTGCTTCAGAACTTGTTGCGCCTCTAGCTGTTCCCATACAGCCATATCTACCCAGGATGTGAAAAATTACTCAATTGTGTCCTCTATTCAAAAAGCAGGACAAATCCAAACAGGCCAATTACCACCACATCTTCTACTCTCGATTATCAGAAAAAGTGATAGAAGGTGTCAGCAACAGTACTATCAAGGAGCACCTGTTTCGCAAAACTCTTCACTGATGCCCAGTTTGGATTCCATTAGTGACAGTTTCAGACATCAATACTGCCTTGTTTCAAACCTCAATAGAACAGCTAAATGTGAAGTGTCCTGACGTGAAGGTCACGTTTGACTGAGTGTCGCATGAAGGAACCCTAGCAAAACTGGAATCAATGCGAATCAGGGGAAATCATACTTGGCACATAGAAAGATGGTTGTGATAGCTGGTGGCTGGTTATCTCCACTTTAAGACATCTCAGCAGGAGTTCCTCAGGTTACTGTTCTAGGCCCAACAATCTTCAGCTGCTTCATTAATGACCTCCCTTCCAGAAGTGAAAATGCTCAACAATGATTGCATAATGTTCTGCACCGTTTGCAACTCCTCAGATACTGAAACAGTCCACATTTAAATTCAACAAGACATGGAAAACATCCAGGCTTGGTCTGAAAAGTGGTAAGTAATATTTATGCCATGCAAATACCAGGCAATAACCATCTCCATTAAGAAACAATCTAACCACCACTGCTTAACATCCAATGGCATACCATCACTGAATCTCCAACTATCAATATCCTGGGGAGTTATCATTGACCAGAAATTAAACTAGACTCACCCTATAAATACAGTGCCTACAACAGCAATTCAGAGTTAGGAATATTACAGCAAACAATTCACCATCTGACTCCCAAAGCCTGTCCACCATCTACAAGGCACAAGTGACAGGTGTGATGGTATAGTCCCCATTTTTGGAAGAGTGCAGCTTCAACAGCACTCAAGAAGCTCGACACAATCCAGGACAAAGACCTTTTTGATTGTCACCACATCCACAAACATCTGCATCCTCCACCACTGTTGCTCAGTAGCAGCAGTGCGTAGCATCTACAAGATGCAATGCAGAAATTCACCAGAGAACCTTAGGCAGCACCTTCAAAATCCATAAGTAAAACCTAGAAAATAAAAGAAAGCAGATACAGGGAAACACCTCCACTTGTAAGATCTCCTGCAAGTCAAACAAATCCTGACTTGGAAGCATGTTGCTATTCCTTCAGTATTGTGAGGTCAAAAGCCTGGAAATCCCTCCCTAAAGGCTTGAGAGTTTATCCACTGCACATGGTATGCCATGGTTCAAAAAGGCAGTACACCACCACCTTCCCAAGTGCATCTAGGGATGGGCAACAAATGGGCCTGGCTAACGAGACCCATGTCCTACAAGTGAACTAAAAAACACATCTGACCCCTGAACCATAGCCCCTGAATCTGACTTATGCTTGTTAGATGTCTTGTCTATCCACTTTTTCAAACTAAATTTCACTCTACTGCCATTGTCTGAGTGCTGAAATGCTGAATGCTTTGAATATTGTTATAGCTTAATATTATGTTACATAATACTGTTAATAAGGTATACGATTCCACAGACCTACATGTCCATAATGCTTTGCAGAAATAATTAGCATAATATAAAAGAAAAAAAAACATGTGCAAGTTCTTATAAAGGAAAAATAATTACCATATCAAAACATAAAGTTTATCCAGGTAAGTTTGACTTGATTTTTATTTTAGACTCCAGCCTTATGCAACTTCAAGAAACACATATCACTGAGGCATCATAAAACATTTGAAGGGTTTTCAAGGTATGCACAAATTTATAACAAAAAACTTTTCCAATTGAAAATCAAGTTCAAGTTCATGTGTAACTAACGGAAGGTCTTAATTTGCGGAAATATTAATATACATAATGGCACACACTCTTCAGCAACCTTGTGTAGCACTAAGACATGCTGCAATGGCTGTTGCATCTCTTAGCATGTGCCTTGCTAAGACGCTATCATGTCATAAGTAAGGAAAAAGACATCATCAGGACATCAAAAGTTTGTATAGTAAAAAATAACTGGCCCATTCGGCATTAATCTGACAAATGCTGGGAATAGCTCATTGTTACACACAGGTAAGATAATTGTCAGTGGAGGTAAAGGTTTCCATACCTTTGAGTTACCTGCAAAAAAAAAAAAAAAATTTGCAGTCTAACAACTGCCTGTAAATTAAGTACTTCAGCATCATCATAAGATCAAAGCCCTGTCCTAAAACATATAATTGAACTATTAAAGATAAAATAAAAACAGAATCATAAAACATCATTGGAAGAATATAATTATTCACCTTTCTTGCAGCATTAATGTCAAAGAATGGCTTGTTTCGAACACTGAACGGTTCCCTTGTTTTGTCAATCCGCCCACTCTTCATTTTTTCATGCCGTGGCTGTATTATCTCCTTCTCAATACAGCTCAATCGAACATTAAAATCACAGTCGCCAACTGGTTTCCCCTACAAAGAAAGCAATTTTCTCTTTTATAAAAGGTCCAAAAAAATAACATATTTGTTTATATATTTAAAAAACTGATTTTCTTTTTACTTTACCCACTATTTGTAACCTATGAAATTGGAGTGTCAAAACAAAGTAGACTATCTAGCCCCCAAAAGTTGCTTTTGTCATACAACTGGTCATGGCTCATCTGCATTGCAACCTTATACTGACTATTTTAGTTGCATAGCCATGGTGCATTTACCTAAAAAGAATGCTGACTTAGGACTTGAAATTTAAATTCAGCAGGTGGACACTCCAAAATAAAGATCAGAGTTAAGAGGCATGAAGTCAGGTGCTTGAGGCTCATAAGGTGGTATGGGTAAAATAGAAGAGATATAATAGGGTGGGCATGATGTCCACTGTTCCTACACAGTGGGAACAGTAGCAACAACCAACTGAAATTGGTGTGAGAGGAACCACCAGTACATGAGTGAGCAAACAGAGACTGGTAGAATACTGAATGGTCAGCTAGAAGATAAACTAATATTCTCACTGGAAGGTTCTAAGCAGTAGGAGAAAAGAAGGGTTCATGACATGCTTCAGTACAAGTGGCTATCCAAGTACAAACTATATCATTATTTACAAGTTAATATTTGAAAAGGAACAACATTTAATGGATCTGGGAAATGGAGTTACATACAGGAAAATATCAGCACCAGAACAATGAGCCAATGGCATCCTCCCCAGTCCTGTAATTTTTCCCATTCAATGAAAACTTCTTTAGTGAATCTGATCTAAGGAAGTGATTTGGAAATAGAAAAAGAAAATTATGGGAAAGGTCAGTAGATCTGGCAACATTAACCTTTTAGGTTTGTAACTTTTCATCAATATTATTGACTTAGGAAGGTTGATGCTGAACTGACTTTAAGAGGATGTGCTATATAAGAAGTGCCTGATACCTAGTTTCATACAATCTCAGCTTGGTTAAAGTCTGTCTCTATGTTTTGGTTCTGATGTGTTAAGCCAAAGTATAGATAAGTTCCAAACATTAAACAAATTTATGGAGTGGAATTTTGTCTGTAATTACAGGGTAAAGTTACACAGATCATAAGATTACTACTCATTATAAGAAAGCTATCAAGACTTAATAACTACCAATACCAGTTATATATGGTCTATCAGCGAATTACTGAGTCACCATTGATCAGGAGGGAAATCCAAGTGTTTGAAGTATTACAATTAGTTCAATTATAATTAGATATTACAAAACAAAAATACAGAGGACGCTGAAAATGGAAATTGAAAATACTGCAAATACCCAAAGGTCAGTCAGCATCTGTAGAAAGAAATAAAGTTAATGCACAAGATTGCTGACCTTCCTTCATCACGTCTAAGATGCAATATAAATACACGCTTTTATTGGTAAACATTGTGAAAAAAGTTTAAAATGTTCAATGTCGACAAATGCTGCTTTTTACGTTCCTTATAATGTAGAATGTAAACAAACTGATAACAAAAGAAAAAATCAGCAACACGGTGATTCAAGCCTGAGGAAGTCTAATATCTTAGGTCGGATGATCCTGATTTCCGCTTAATTAAGTAGTTGCATTCACACAACAGAGCTCAAGCTCCTTCTTGTTACAGGATACAAAATCAGAAACAGATGTTAATCCCCAGGGCCACAGTTGTATCTGGAGCTATCTACTGATTATGTTTGAGGATGATGCCAACTAAGCATGAAAGCAAGGCACTGCTCAATCCAAAATGCAACGTCCCCTCCGGGAAGGTAAATAAATGTGCTAGTTTTTCATAACGGGTAACCTTTTTTTAAAATCTACAAGCGTGAGACGAATAGAGAGAGGGAAGTGCAATACACAGATTAAAGTTCTACATTCGGCAGTAAGCAAAGAACCAGACTGAACATTTAACTTATTCACGTGAGTCATACTGCTGCAATTCTGACTCAGAAATGACTTCCTGCTCTAAATTTTGGCACAGTGTTATATGTTTTCCTGGATTTGTCATAAACAGCACTTCCTTCAATCAAGACTTGAGCTTTACTGTCCTAATCATGCAGGACTGCGATCCAGGAGCCACAACAATGAAATCTACTATTAATAGCAGAGAAACTCTCAAACAACGTTAATATTATAGCAAGCCTAAGAATCAGGATATTATAATTGATAAAATTAGTAATATGAAAAATCAAAGCCTGCCACTATCACTAGATGCATTTTACTTACAGCTAAGTAACTCTAGAAGTTATGGGCTCTAATCCTAAAAAGATTCTTTTTTACTGCACTTGTTAGTGTCTTTCCTTCTGGCTCAAGTTCCATTCCACGAACAAAAAACAAACTAGGCTGACACCACAGCACAGAATTCAAGGAACTCTGCATTGTCAGAGTAGCATCTTTCTTTTAGGTGAGTTATTAAAGCTGCCCTCTCAAGGAACATTGTAAATTTAATAACACTATTCGAAAGGGAGCAAAGGAGAGCTCCCCATTATTTATTTTAGTGAACTTTAATTAAAGAGGTTTACAGATTGTAACATACTGAGGCATCTCCAAAACATAACCAGAGGTGGCAATGCTAAACTCTGTTGACCCTAGCTCAACTCAACACCCAAATAAAACAAAGGATGCTGGCAATCTGCACTAAAAGTAGAAAGTGCCAGAGAAAAACCAACAGGGCTGGCACATCTTTGGAGGTAGAAACAAAGTTACTGTGTCGAGTTCAACCTGATTTGTCTTGAGAACAATTAGAACTGCTCCAAAGTAGAGTCATGTTGGAGTTGAAACATTAATTTTATTCCTATTGCCATAGGTGCTACCAGATCGGTTGGGTTTTTCCAGCAATGTTTTTATTTTATGATGACACTCAATTTCATCTCTCCACCACCTCTCTCAACCCTTGCCTGGATATTGGACATAAGCTGCAGGCTCATGCCACAATTTGAAACTACAGACAAAACAAAAAAGAATTAGAGGGTAAATTGACAACAAAAGTAAAAACTGCAAAAGAATTTCTTGAGTTTGCAGTGTTACAACATAGAAATTTTTGCATTTGATACCTGTACACTCCTGGCAGGATTAAGGGAAGTCACATTTGAGAAGTTGAAAATTCTGTCCTTCAAAGTTAAAAGATTTAGCAAGGCATTTAGAATTTCACCTAAAAGCAGTAAACCTGAAATTCTGAAAAGGGTGGCAAACTATTTAACAGTGTAAATTGAGGGCACTGAAACAGGAATCATGGAATCCTACAGTGTGGAAACAGACCATTCGACCCAAAAAGTCCACACCTACTCTCCAAAGAGCAACCCACCCAGATTCCCTACCTTATCCCAGTAACCCTGCATTTCCATGGTTAACCCACCTAGCCTGCACATTCCTGGGCTGTGGGAGGAAACCAGAACACCCGGGAGGAAACCCACACAGACACAGGGAGAATGTGCAAAGCTGGAATTGAACGCAGATTCCTGGTGCTGTGAGGCAGCAGTGCTAACTACTGAGCTACTATGCTGCCACAGTGGCAGTGGAGAGATCAAAATATCATAGCGGAAAACAGAATTTCAAGATAAAGAACAGAAAAGAGGAAAAGAAAGAGAAGAGAAAAAAAGAAAGACAAGAAAAGGGAAAAAAGAATGATAAAGGCAGGCAAGAACATGGAGGAAAGAGAGAACTTAAACATAAGCGGCAAGGAAAGTAATTTGAATTATGAGAGTTCAAGCTAAGGATCAGAAAACGAATGCCCCACGAATACACGACTAGCTCTAAGGTTTTATTTTTCATTTGTTCTCCTGTGTAATTAAATGAGAATGGATCTAATCTCATTCATCCTGTGGATCTGTATGATACTGGAAAAGGTGCTATCTTAAAGATGATGCATTGGCCAATGCGTAAGACACTCTTTAAATAATGTCAAAAGGCTTCTCAAATCGCTGGAGAAGTAAAACTAAATAAACATATTTATGTAATACTTTCCATGATGTTAGCATATCCTCAAATATTACAATACAAATGAAGCACTTTCAAATGATTTCCATACCTCGTATAGAAATGAAGCAATCAATGCCCACAGAGCAAGGAACAACAAGCAGCCCCAAGAGAAATGACACGGCAATCTGTAAAGTTAGTTAGGGTCTAAATGTTAGCCAGAAAATAGGGACAGTTGCCCAATTGTTCAAACAGTGGCATGAGATGTTTTTTACATCTACCCCAGAGGATAGATGGGCCTTACTTGTCAATTTGTGTGGAGATAGCACCTTGGCACGTATCCTCAGCAACAAAGCCTTGACAACTCACACCTACCAAACGAACAAAAAAGGCTCAATACTTTAGATCTCTAGTGTCTACAACACAGTCTTGGCATCTCATCAACAATGAAGCGGTCCTTTCTAAGCCACCCATACTATTGCTAATCAAGCAAGGAAGGATTTGAGCTGCCACAGGCGTATACACAAGATGGAAGATGTCCACATCCTCAATGATATTAAAATAACGGCACAGAGACCAGCATCCCCATCAGCAAGTCACTCTATGTACATGCGCTCTGACCAGCCAGCTCATAGCCAGTCCCTAGAAATGAGGAGACTCTCTGAATCTCCCATTTATATCTGTTAGGCAGGGCACCCTGATTGGCCCAGGAAAACAACCCCAATCAAGGATCTCAATCAATGAGATCCACCTGGCCTTTGTTCTAATCACTGCACATATGCTATACAGGGAAGTCACCCATGCCAAGAGACCAGAAGAATGCTGAACCCTACAACACAAGAAAGGACACACAAAAAAATCTTGAGAGCGCTGCTAGGTAGTTTCAAGCTCAATGTAACTTCAATAGGTAAAAAATTTCTCAGAAGAAAGCTCTATCAATTATGCTCAATTTCCACATTCCTTATACTGACCTCATGAGGAGGATATTATTTTCCTGTATGATTAAACCATTTGAATCTCCAGCAAAGTGAAACTGAAATGCCGCTGATGCACTTCCACACTTAATGAAGTCACCTCCCCCACGCCCT